TAGACTCGAAACGTTGACCTACCTGCTCCTCTGCTGCTGCCTGACCTGCTGTGTTTCTCCAGCTCCACACCGTAGCTGTCCTTCCTGTAACAGGGAGACCACATTATTGAGCTGGAGAGGGCTCAGGAGAGATTTACCAGGATGTTGATCGGAATGGCAGCTCTGAGTTACAAGGAGAGGTTGGATAGGCTGGGACTTCTTTCACAGGTGTCGGAGGTTGAGAGGTGACCTTGTAGAGGTTTATAAAATCATGAGGGGTATAAATAAGGGGAATGGCAGGTGTCTTTTCCCTAGGGTGGGGAAGTCCAAGACTCAGATGGCATATTTTTAAGGTGAGAGGAGAAAGATTTAAAAAAAATACATGGGGGGGGCAGACTTTTTTTACACAAAGAATTGTTTGTGTGTGGAATGAACTTCCCGAGGAAGTGTGGATGCAGGTACAGTTACAACGTTTAAAAGACATTTGGATAAGTACGTGAGTGGGAAAGGTTTGGAGGGATATGGGCCAGGAGCAGGCAGGTAGGACTAGTTTAGTTTGGAATTATGGCTTTAGCATGGACTGGTTGGGCCGAAGGATCTGTTTCCATGCTGTAGGATGTGATGACTCCATTGGTGTGTAGGCATTGCTGGAAAGCAACTATTTTGCTGATAAGAAGCTGATGTTTCTCAATCTTCGAACTCAAACGGGAACAATCAGAATACAACTTTGGAAAGTGGTGAATATGCTTCCTTCTGTTTAATACATCGAAATTCGTCATTGGTCGTTAACGTGGATCCGATTCTCTCTATCTATTATACCCTCCTGGGACACAGCGTGTCTAGTCGAGCTATCAGAAGGGGTCTGAAATAACTGCACAGAGGCTGGTATCCCGTCACCAAGTCACCCTTTATTTACTTGTACATGTGGCCAGCCAGCTCAGAGTCAGTCCCCCTGAACTGAGGAGATTCTAATCTCCTGGTTATATTGGTCAGCCAAGGTCTTCCCAATCGGTCCAGGGTGACAACCTCAATCAAAGGTTTTTGTAGTGAACGAGGGTGAGCTGGTCCCAATCACTACAGGGTCAAAGCTCACGTTTCCCTCAAGTGTCACATAACAAACCTTCCCTATATGCTCTGGCTCACCTGGTCTCCCTGGCCCGCACCCCTTCGCCACACAAACAGGTGACACATGCCACCTCCAGGCCTCCCAAGAAACACGGTCAAGGTGAAGACAGCGATGTGGCGGTGAGCCAGTGCAAGCTGATAAGGTTGAGGGCAAAGGCTGGGCGAGAAGAGCTTTCATTTGCATAGCGCCTGCCCTGGCCTGCGGACGTTTCCAAGCCAGTGGAACATAGTCACTGTAAAGTAGCAGGTTATACTAGTCACTGGCCCATTGGCAAAACCTCATGACTGGCAATAGGCTGCAGGAATCAAATGTCACGAACTTTGAACCCTCCATCAAACAGGTCACTCAAAAATACAAATTGCAGAGAGAGAGAGACAGAGACAGAGAGAGAGACAGAGACAGAGAGAGGGAGAGAGAGAGAGACAGAGAGAGAGACAGACAGAGAGACAGAGAAAGACGAGGAGAGAGAGAGAGAGAGAGACACAGAGAGAGAGAGAGAGAGAGAGAGATAGGGAGAGGTGGACAGTGCAGGAGGGTGAGAGAGAGACAAAAAACAGAGCCCAGTGAGTGAGTGACAGAGACACAGAGAGGAGTAGGGCCTGTGGAGAGGGAGACAGGAAGGGGGTGCTGAAATATCTCCACAGAGGCCAATATGCCGTCAGCAAGTCACCCTTTATTTACACATGAACTGTCCTTGACCATTGTACTGCCCCTTACACAGTCAGCGACCAGCGGGTCAGCATCTCTGACACTCCTGTTCTTATCTGTCAGCCAGGGCTCCCTGATTGGACCAGACCAACAGCCTCAATCAGGGAACTCCTGTACAAGGTCCACCAGGCTGACCTCGTCACAATTACTACAACGGGCATCGAGGGAGACAGGGAATGGGGGGGCATTGAGGGAGACAGGGAATGGGGGGGCATCGAGGGAGACAGGGAATGGTGGGGGCATCGAGGGAGACAAGGAATGGGGGGGAATGGAGGGAGACAGGGAATGCGGGGCATCGAGGGAGACAGGGAATGGGGGGG